ATCCCCGTACGGGGACGGGGACGGGGACGGGGATGGGGGTGGTTATGGGTTCCCCGTCAGGAATCGGGGCCGGGGACGGGGGTATTTCCACCATCGGGGATCGGGGACGGGGAGTGTGATCCCCGGCCCCGCCCCGCCCCGTTGCCATTCCTAATTTCTATTCATAATCATTGAAAATATCCAGATCTTGCCACAACCTTGTCAAAGTATTTAAGTATTTGGTGACATTGTCTCTCCCTTGTTGAATTTCTCCAAGTTGTAGTTGCAGCTCATACATTCGGGATTGATTGCCAAGGTCAAAATACATATGGTTAATATTAGCCCAGAGTCTTTTGGCAGTTGGATAGCACATATAATTAGAGGCGGTATCTTCATCCATGGAATTAACAAGCCAGGCCATAACCATGGCGTTTTCTGCATCCCAAGTTGTATAAGTCGTATCCTTCAAATCAAGCGCTTTTGTATCACCAATTAGGTACCCAATCTTTCCTCGCCCTCGAATATGCATACGCATTGATTGAGACCAACGTAGAAAATTGTCTCCATTAAGGCATATAGTGGTTATCTAAACAGAGTGTGAGTCAGTAGACTTGGATCCATACATCATGAGAGGCGAAGGTTTCAATTACTACGAATAAGTCCCAATAATTGTTTGTTTGTAAATACAGAAAGGAGTTAGAATAAAGTTTCGGCTCTGATACCAAGTAAACAAGGAATTGGGAGAGAATTGTTCTCATTTTTATATTTTTTAGAATGATAAACAAGTACTCTATTTATAGTCTATACAAGGCACTAAATCAGGAACTAAATAATCATATAGCTAACATATAGCTAGCTATCATACAACTAATTTTCCTTATTTACAGAGTTGACATACATCTAGGCAATCCCTAGAGATCAGCAATAAATCTCAGCTGAATATTCTCCTTTCCAACATGTTATATATTTTATACATCAACACTAGCATTTATTTTTTCAATAAAAGTTATAATATAAAGGTAAATTATACTGACCTACCTTGAGTAATGGGGTTAGAAATATGTTACATGGACTTGGGTATGGGTGTTAGGTGTGTGTGGGTGTCCAAACATTAGACCCTTGTAAACCTAAATATGATATTAGGATACGTATTCAAAAGTTGGATGTGTATGGGGACCATATTTACATGAAGTGAGGGTAGGGATAGAGGGCAAGGGCTGGGGCGGGAGTGGGAGGGAGTGGGGGGTGGGAGGGAGGGGGCGAGGGTTCGGAGGGCAAGGAGGCAGCGAGGACCCCCATTGTTGTTTCTTGCTTACTAAGCATGGGGGTGCATTATGGAAACTTACACATATTGCATATTTTATCATATTTTTAATTAAGATGTAAATTATGAAGAAAATATACTTGAAATTAAATAACATTTAGGGAAAGGAGAATGCTAAATGTGTAAATATTGTATAAAAATATGTAAAGATGTTTTGAGATATGTGAAATGTGTATTGAGATTACAAATATTTTGGTATTACATACTTCATTAGGGAAAATATGAAATTTCTATGTCTCATTTATGTGAGAGGCCATAAATGTTTATTTGCAAATAAACATTTTTTCTTCTTAAAAGATTTTCAAACATTAGAGGATCGAAGTGTTTAAATTGGGTATCAGACACGTATACGGTATACCCCACACTTGTTATATTCGATGGACATGGGTATTTTGGAGAATAGAAGAGTCCATGCATGTAACACAGGTTATTAAAATGGGCCTCATTAGTATGGTAAAATTTTTGCATGCTTCCCCAAGTATTGTAGTCAAATAACAATTACACCCACGCCATTAGATCACCGCTCGCTAGTCTTGTGGACGGTTTGACCATGATGTCAACAAATAATGCAATGAAGGGCCTATTTTGCTCTTTATTGACTGAAATCAAATATGCTAAGTGATATATATACATAAGAGTCTTTGACTAAAATGTGTTTATTAAAAAGCATGTTTACATAATCTTTGACTAAAATTTCCCTTGTTTAAACTTATTTTTACCAAAACATTTTTTTTTACTATTAAAATATACGAAAAGAAATTCTTAACTTCCAATTTTGTATTGCTACTTGATATGTGTCACCAGAAAATGTTGATCCCTAGCGAATTATGTTTTGGAACGCAAGTTCCTAATCATGGTATACTTGTATTCAAAAATGGTAAATTTGGCGATCCAAAGCGATCCCAAAAGTTTGTTCCAATATATTTCCTTAAGGTTTCCTTAGGAGTAAAAAAATAAATATAATGAACTAAAATCTAAGGTAAGTTGTGAAATTTTAACATGAAAAACATAAAAAAATGAGTCATAATGTTCATAAAATATGTGTTGCCATATGACTAATTTGGAAAAATGCCTACATTTTATTGGATGTATAATTGTTAAAAAATTTTCTAGACTAAAAGTACTTTAAATTCTTGATAGTGTTATACAAGCCTACTCCTATCGTACCACAATTTGGAGCATTTGGTGTACTGCCTTACCCTTCCTATTCCATGTATCAGAACAATCTATGTTCTTGGTAATATAGCCATAGATTTACATTACTCTTCCTTCCCTTCAGTATGATAAACCCTTGCATAGTTCTCCCTTGCCTTGTCCTCAGATTAGCTTTAGTTCTCTCTCTTGCCGAGAAACCGGTTATCTGGCCATGCTTATAGAGGGGGAGGGAGGTGGCAACAATGGTGGTGGCAGGGGTGGGGTGATGGTAATCTATGTGGGAGAAGAAAAGGTGGAGGATAATTTATGAAGATTATATAATTTACAAAGGTTATTTTGTCATTTGACATTATATTTACATTGGGTAAACTACACTTTACCCCCTTGAGGTTACGCTTAGAAACACCAAACCCAGCTGTCATTTGCTTTAATATTGATGTGTAAAACAGAAAAGGTAAAACATAGCCCTGTTATTTCACCTCTCTGTGTCCCCTTTCTCTCTTTGCTTCCCTCCCTTCACACACCACTCTACCACCCCCAGCTAACTCACATCAAACCCTAGATATTCACCATCACCCACTGTTGGGTATGGTAATGTTGTTTTACATAGTGGAGACTTTCTAGAAATGTAGGTATGAAAGAATTGAAGAAATAACCAATTGCTGATGAAAATCATACCGTTGAGTGATCAAGGCTGTTGTGTACCTGGAACCTAAAGTAGGAGATTCAACAAAAATCATAGGGCATGTTTGGTTTGTCTCTCAAAACATGTTTTTGAGAAAAAATTCCAAAAACATGCTTGGTTGAAATTTTCAAAAAAAAAATTCCAAAATCAGTTTTCTGTCTACTATACATCAATCAATCACTCAACTTTTTTATCTTCTCTCCTTCTCAATTACTTTTTCTCTCACACCCATCTATTCAACTATAAAAAAGTATCAAATCATCCCAAACTCCAAAACTTTAAAACTACTTTCAAAATATACAACTAAACAAATTTTCAAATTTTCTAAACTCTCTCTAGAAAATTATTTTTGAAATAATATCTCAAAACACAAACCAGACAAGGCCATAGTTTCCAGTGCTTCGGCTGGTATATGTGAAGCTCCATATATCTATATAAATATATCTAAATACTTTATTCCTAGTCAATACAAACCATAAGCTTTGATTTTGGATTGAAGCTCCATGCTGTGTTTTTATTTCTTTGAATTGGTTTTGGTGTTTGTATATATATATATATATATATATGAGGGTGATAAGTGGACCATGGCAATGGGGAGTAATAAAATGAGTAACTAGTGTTTGACTAGTTAGCTACTGAAGATAATTTTTTTCAAAGATTGAAAGTTTGCTGGAGTGCAAATCTCTCCAATATTTTAGATAAGCAACTCTTCTACAACAGGGCTGTGGAATTGAATAGTGTACTCGTTCCTGTAGATCTAATTCACCTTTTGCAGTGGAACCACCCTCACCGATCGCTACCCCTCCCTCATCTACTGTTAATTGAGTCTTGCATTTCCAGTTGAAGTTCAGATTTGGTATCATATATGTGTGTGTGTACAGGAGCCATAGAAATTTGGTATTATATATATTGTATATATATATGTTTTTATTGATGGTCGTTGGGTTTCTGGAGAATTCAATCGTGTTTGTGGCGCAAGATGGAGAGAGCAGAAGGAAGAGGGTTTGGTGCCGCTGGTGGTCGATGGCGCGTGAGTTGGTGATGGGTGGCCAACATGCTCAACTATTCGTGCATTTTTTTTCTCTATAGAAATCCATTGCAAACATGGATGATTTGCTTCCAAATATGGTCATTGAAAATTTGGAGAGAACAGGGGCATCATTGTCCATTAGGTGCTCAAATATGTCAGGAGCAATGCCTATCAGTTCTTTCTTGTTGCATGTGTCACGCACTGTTATGTTGGACGGAAATATTAAGTATTGCAGTTTGTTTGACAACACAAGCGGGTTTAGGGTTACAAAATAAACATTAAGGGGGTTATGTGTTTTTTAACTTAACCATAGGGAGCCAAAATGTAATTTACCCATTTACATTTAATGTCTGACATACCAATATATGTTCAAAACATGTACGGGTGAAAATGTATTTTCACTTTGTCAACTCTGCTTATGTTACGTTAATGAAGGGGAGGTCAGAGTAATATTCACAAGCTAATGTGCTGCTGTAATTAACCCATTAGTCAGGATAGGTTAGTGTAGTTTTCCCTACTATAAAATAAAAGTAGCTTTTTGACTGTAAACACCCCAATGATACATGCTCTCTTAATTTGGTGAGAAATTGTGTAAACGATTTCCACAAATATTTCTAGAGCATCTGTCTCTGTCAATTTGCACAAAACGTAACAAAATCTAGAATTGTTAGTGACAGAAAAATGAATGCAGTCAGTTTGAATAATTGTAAGCTTGTGTGTGAGATAACCAGCGGCAAGCAGCCAGGACATGAGTTTGTCTGTCCAGAAATTTTCTTCCATTCTATATTATTCTGATGTCTTGCATCTTTTGTTGTTGTCTATAACAGGTGTGCAATGGCACTAGTCCATCAAAGAGTTAGGCGTATATTCTATGCCTTCCCAAATCCAAATGAGGGTGCACTGGGAAGTGTTCATAGACTACAAGGTGAAAAAAGCCTAAATCACCACTATGCTGTTTTTAGGGTCTTGTTGCCTGCAGAAATCCTTGAGAAAGAACGTAAAACCATAGTTGCAACATGTGATGATGACAAAAATAACACAACTTGATTCTGCTAGAGGAAAGGTTTTGGTCATGATAGATACACTTTTGTTATGTATGTTATCAGCTAATGGAAAGTTCATACTATGTGACATTTATCCACAATTTTAGCTCCTGACTTTTGTGCTCCATTAAAGTTCTGGGAAATTACTCCGCGGTGCTGAAAACCATCACAATCAGTATCATTGCCCAATTTTAGTGTTTTTTTTTCCCTCTTCCCCTCCCCTTAATATTGTTCTTAAATTCTAGTTACTCTTTCCTTTAACCCACGTTAATGTTTTTTGTAGCATATAATGGTCCTTGATTTTTGGTCGGGTTGGCAATTCTATTTTGTTTTTATTTATAAATGTAGAAAAGTTTACATGCATACAGATCATATGTTTGTGTTATGGAGGCAACCACAAATGATGATTGAAGTGGGGGCACCGGGTAGAAACATACAGAACCTTTTGCTTGCTATGCTTCCTTTTGGAGACTGCTACTTGTCTTTACGACAAAACTTGAAAAGGAAGAAGACTTGGTAGGGCTTATTATGACATGCAATGATGGGAGTTTTGGAGCTGAAAATGTGATTACAAAGTAGTACTCTCCCCCTTCCCTAATATTATGAATAGGTCTATATCAATTAGGCCTTTTTGTGTTTATAGATAAATGCTGTTTGGTTCATTAGAATGAGATGGAATGATATTGAGATGAAATGGTGATTCCTTAGGCTTTCTTATGCAATGATCATTCCCTTAACATAGTGAAAGGTGATTACATTTGTAATGCATTTTTTAGTCTAACCAAACATGAGAATGAATATTTTGATGGAATGATTATTCTATTTCAGTTCATTCCAAAGAACCAAACAATGCCGTAGGGATCCCTCAATGTACTTCCCTACTCGGCAAATTAATTTTTAGTAATTTTTTATGATTTATTATTATTATTTTGAGATCAAGAAGCCAATCTTGTTTTGCAAATCCTTGTTGACAAACCAAAAAGCGCTCTGCTTTTTTAGAAGCAAAAGGCACCAAAATTAAAAAAAAAAATAATTAAATTGCATTTAGCCTATTGGGCAACTATTTTAGCCATGTTTTTTTAGTCTATATATATATATATATATTTATTGATTTTTTAATATTTTTTATTAATTTTTTTCTTTTTAGCTCTTAGGTTAGAAGGCCTTGAACATAAAGACCAAATTTGGAAAAAAAATTGTAAGGACCAAAAAAAAAAAAAAAAAGTCATGCAAAAGGCCAAGAAAATTGACTCTCTTTTTGGGTCTATTTTTGGACCTTTTCAAAATAGGTCCAATTTTTAAAATTTTTAAATTCTGGGATGGACTTTATTTTTATTAAATTTTTTCATTAAATTCTCCTTAATAAAATGAATTTATTTTCCTCTTCGTTTCTCCATAAAATCTATCCAAAGAAAGACTCTTTTGATTCCCTAATTCATTTTGAGGTAGTTTCAAAAAGGATATTTAAAAATTACTCAAATTGAATTTAATCAAGATAAGCTCCCTTTCATGAAAATTGTTAGAATATCATACATAATGATGTGTTTCATTCATAGTTATTTATTGGAAGTTAAAATGTTCATCACTTTGGATCAAATTGCAAAAGTACTATTGCCACATTATGTTAAATTTTGTATGAAAATTATGTATATATATCATATTTCGAAAATGAAAAACACAAAATAGGAATGAATATGATTTGATCCAATAGAAAATGATTTGCATGTACCAAACCTGGTTTTGAGCATCAATATATAATATACACTGCTGCTAAAATAGAAAGTTGTCTTGCTCATGTTCAGAAATTAAGTGATTGAACAATTATAATCCACCGTAGAGATGAATATTTTGCTCCATTTTTTTTCTTTTTCTTTGCTCTTTTCTCAAGCATCCAACTCCCAGTTAATCTGAAATGAATGCACTCTATATAATTAAACTCTAGAAGCATACTTGTAGTCTTAATGCTCTTATTTCAGTTACTATTTTGGACTTTTAGCTTCATAGGTTTTTAGACTTTTTGACTTTCTAAAAGCTTTTGTATCTACGGAAGATTGGCTTTAAAGACTTTCCATCAGCCAGGCATCCACATGTCTACATCAATAATTAGCTTCAGAAGAAAAAGACAAAGTATGTAGAAGATAAGGCCTCTCTTCAACAAGCAGCAAAATTCACGCCAAAAATGACAATAGCTATTGTAATTATTTGTGTTTGTCAGTAGTAAGGCTTCTCCTTCACTCATTACTTTAATAGAACAGATGACCCCTATCCTGCTCAATTAAAGAAAAACTGTGAGAATCCTTACGTGTTATGGTGTCAAAATTTTTATTTTGAATCAAGAGAGGGAGGATTGAATGATGTGTGACGTGGCCCAAAGCAATACCCGGCATCTTTATCCTAACCCTTTATTGGGTCTATTTTTGGACCTTTTCAAAATAGGTCCAATTTTTAAAATTTTTAAATTCTGGGATGGACTTTATTTTTATTAAATTTTTTCATTAAATTCTCCTTAATAAAATGAATTTATTTTCCTCTTCGTTTCTCCATAAAATCTATCCACAGTAGAGATGAATATTTTGCTCCATTTTTTTTCTTTTTCTTTGTTCTTTTCTCAAGCATCCAAACAATAACTCTCCCAGTTAATCTGAAATGAATGCACTCTATATAATTAAACTCTAGAAGCTTAAACTCTAGAAGCATACTTGTAGTCTTAATGCTCTTATTTCAGTTACTATTTTGGACTTTTAGCTTCATAGGTTTTTAGACTTTTTGACTTTCTAAAAGCTTTTGTATCTACGGAAGATTGGCTTTAAAGACTTTCCATGGATGTCTACATCAATAATTAGCTTCAGAAGAAAAAGACAAAGTATGTAGAAGATAAGGCTTCTCTTCAACAAGCAGCAAAATTCACGCCAAAAATGACAATAGTTATTGTAATTATTTGTGTTTGTCAGTAGTAAGGCTTCTCCTTCACTCATTACTTTAATAGAACAGATGACCCCTATCCTGCTCAATTAAAGAAAAACTGTGAGAATCCTTACACGTGTTATGGTGTCAAAATTTTTATTTTGAATCAAGAGAGGGAGGATTGAATGATGTGTGACGGGGCCCAAAGCAATACCCGGCATCTTTATACTAACCCTTTATTGATTTTTTTTTTTTGGGGTCTATTTCTAGTGTAATTTCTACAGGAAGTTTGTCAGAAAATATGTAAATAATTGTTGCTACTAAGTCCTTGTATTTATTCTGTTGTGTACAAAGTCATTTTATGTAGAAATTTTGTAAAGCTTATGACTAGGCTTAGAGAATTTGTGCAAAAGTTAGACGTAAGTGTTAGGACTTTGCTTTTTGTTTGTATCCATCAATTGTATTGTATAAATTGACATTCATGCCAACGGACAATGCAATGAAAATTCTCTCCACTCTTCCTTGCAAAAATTCTCCAACTTCTCAAACCTTCGTCTAAAAAATTCTAAAGTGTTCAAGTCTTTCAGTATCTCAAAGTCTGTAACAAAATCTTTGTAAGTATAATATATATTAATATGAAGTGTGAGTAGTCTCTCTTTTTCCTTAGATATTTCAAAAGGGTAACTCTTATGTTCTAAAATTTATTTTCTTTTTGAAAAAACTAAGTTTATGAAATACTTGCTTGCTCATTAATATTACATGTTTTGCACTTTCATAGTGTCTATTGTTTTCTATTTCATTACTGAGTGACCTTAGCTGAAGAGCTTGTGTGAGCCATGGTTAGGCATTGAGGGTAAATTGTAGGCAGAAAGGGAAATGTAAGAAATAGAAAATAAAAATATACTATGCTGAACGAGGTTTAACTTCAAGGTGGGAGTACATGCAATGAAAGCAAACATTACTTAAAAATAGTTTAACCAAATAAGAAAAAGAATTTTAGAATATAAGGAGAGCAACCCGAGTAGAAATATCAAGGAAATATTTTTAATACAAGAGTTTTAAAATCAAAATTTTATGCTTTTAGAAAAAGAACTTAGAATTAAAATCAGACCTAGTACAGAGCTTATACAAGAATTAGAAAATCAAAAACTAAGATATCAATTTATGTATCATTAGCCTCTGGTGTACATTATAGTTTGAAAATCACACAAATAAATAGGCAGATAACTATAAAATAAGAAGCCTTACAGCTAGCCATACAATTGCTTGAGGATTTAATATTAGCATAACTGTAGAATTAATTAGATAATTCTCAGCCCAACTTCAAAATAGTGGTAAACCACTAACCCTCTCTCCAAAAATTGGTATCAGAGCAGTGTTCGGTTTTAGGGCCGTTTAAGTTAGTTTATGCATTTTGCTTACGGAAATAGAGTAGTTTTTATTATTGGACAATTTAGTAATAAGTTTCATATTATAGTAGTTTTCAATAATTTTAAAGTAGGATTTAATATTGTGTATGAAAAGAATAGAATATTCAGATTTAGAACTCAGTAATTATAACCATCGCCTTAATATAGATAAAAATAAATTTTGCTATAATTTTGAAGGACCTTTTACACATCAGCTCCATAGCGAACATAATTCTCAGCTAAATAGTATTATCGATCATCAGATTGATTTTGTAGAAAATATTAAAAGGGACTTAGATAAAATCAGTATCCTTTTTACTTCGTTTATAGACCATCTTCGTAATACTCGCAGTATAATTAAGAATCAAGATAAAAAATTAGATTATATCCAAGATCAGTGTAGTTCAATCCTACAAAAACGAATAGATTTAAATTTAGAAAAATTTCCCACCAAGCTAGAAATAGAAAATTTAATTTCAGCTATAAATATTAGTAGTTTGAAGAAAATAGAGTTAGAATTTAAGCAACTAATTGAAAAAATTCATAATAAGATAAATCAAATAGATAGACAAATAGAACAGATCAACCAAATTCAAGATAATTTAAAACAGAAAAGCAGAAGACTTTCATAATAACCCAGAGGGAATTAGTAGCTATCAAGGAATAAATCAATCAGATAAAATATTTGTAAGACAAAACAATATAGAAATTTTATTTCTTATCCGGTTGTGTGAAAAATTTGAAGAATTATCAGAACAACTACACAATTCAGAAAATCGTTTAGTTTCGTTAGAAAGATTAGTACTTCAAAAAGGAAAAAGAGTAGAAGGACAAGCAAATACAGCCTAGTCTCGAATAAATGAAGAAGCTATAGGTAAATATTTTGAAAAGCTTAAATTACCAAAGAAACTTGTTTGTAGAACTTATAGAAAATAAAAATGTTTAAACAGTTAGTAAAAAGAAGTAGTAGTAAAAAGCGTAATGAAGATGAAGATGTTAACAGATCAACCGAATTCAAGATAATTTAAAATAGAAATTAGAAATTTTAGA